ATGGTTCTTTTTTTTTTTTTTTTTTAATTTAAATAAGTAAATAAATTTAAAAAAATAAAGGGAAGGAAAATTTTCTCCTCCCTTCTAATTATTTTGATAATCAAATAGAAAAGGAAAATTTTCTCCTCCCTTCTAATTATTTTTTTCTCTCCTCTCTATTTCCTTAAACCTGAACATATTATACAACCTAATCCAAGGAATTGTAAATAATCATAAAGAAATTATTTCACTAAATAATTACAAAGTACACGTAACTAGCAATTATTGGAAAAAAAGAGGGGGCGGGGGAGGGGGGGGGGATAAATCCTGATGATACAAACAAAACAAAGATAGTTATAGTAATTTCTATAAGCATAAATCAATGAAAGAACAATAAAACAAGTTTGGAAAGATTGATCGAGACATGCAAAATTGCGTTGTCCTCCTTATGCATTGAGTTGACTCAAACGTTCTTCTCCCGAAGAACAACAATTCTTAAAGCAAACGTCGTTGTGCAAAACCTCTCGTGACGAAGTGGATAAAATCCGAACAGCCTTTAAGAATGATTGAACAAACATTAGACGGTTAATAACGCAAGAAGGGAAGAGAACTTTGAAAGAGATGAGTAGAAGGGCAAAAAGAGTAAAAAAAAGATTTTTTTTTGGTAATACTACTAATAAGTAAAAGAGAAGGTGTGGGTAGATTGATTAGAGAAAAATAAAGAGGCTATTTTAAGGATAGTCCCAATTTAAGAGTTCAACTCCTTAGAATAGGTCGGCACTTGGATTAATCTACCTACATAAATTTTGATCTTAAAGTTTGACCTATTTAATTATATCCTATTTGGCTACAAATAACTCCTCATTAAGAGGATAAATAATATAAATATATAAACTAGAGTAAAGTTATTGTTACACTTTAAATAATTAATATTACGTCATTTTAACGCAATTGTTTATTATACCATATCATTACATTACATTTTTTTCTCAAAAATTTACATTTTTTTTTCTTAATAAATTAAAATATATAATAGTCAATTAAAATAAAAAGATGACATTAATAATTAAGAGTGTGACAATAATATTACCCGAAATATTATTAATAGATGAGTGATGCACGAGTTTTAAATTTAAAGAATAATTTTCAAAACAATTAATATTAAAAACCAACTATAAAAAATAAAAATATATTGATATGAGTTAGGATCTATTTATATATAAATTTTATACATCACATTTACACAAAATTTTAATAATTCATCTCTCAACTTTCAATAATTGAGATTTATTTACTTTTCTATCATATTTATTAAATATAATTATCTTTTTCATCTAAAAAAATGATAATAAATCTTAATAATTAAAAGTAAATAAATGAATAGTCAAGATCTTAGGTAAATATGGTATGTAAGATTTATGTATAAATGGTTCTTTTTTTTTTTTTTTTTTGAACGGCATGTATAAATGGTTCCTTGTTCTATTGATATATATATATATATATATAATAAAATGCATTAATTATATTAAGCCAAAAAGGATATATTAGTTCACATACATTTTGAATTACTTGAAATCCACCCCTCAACTTTTTTTTTTTTTTTGAAATTTTTTAACCCTGAGACTTTAATATTAAAATAAATCAATCCATATACTTTTTCAATGAAATAAATTAGCCCAAAGTTAATAGGTGATGTCATACCAAATCACATTTATGTGAAATCTATTTCAAGTCTGTGATGTCATTAAATAAATCAAATCATATACTTTTTGAGCTACTTGCAATCCACCCCTCTAATTTTATTAAAAATTTTCAGCCCATGTACTTTTTTGTTGAAATAAATTAATCCACATACTTTCCTATTAAAATAAGTCCCCTCCTCTAGTTTTTTTGAAAATTTTCAACCCATATACTTTTATGTTGAAAAAAAATCAATCCACTCCTCTAGTTTTATTGAAAATTTTCAACCCATGTACTTTTATGTTGAAATAAATCAACCCACATTCTTTTTATTAAAATAAATCAGTCTAAATTTAACAGATGACATCATGTCATATCTCATTTTTATGAAATCCATTTCAAACATGTTATGTCTTGATAATTTGACATGTGTGTATCTCATTTTTTATGTGATGGATTATTTTTAATCTAGTTGGATATATGTTGACGACATGACAATAAAAATGTATTCTTTCAATCTCTTTATTCAATGATAAAAATACCCTACTATTCTCATTCATGATCATTTTTTAGGATCTAGGGTTTGGTTTAGTCATCCATGTTGTCGTTTTTGCAAGCCCTAAATCTCCATTTTTAAAATCCCAAGAACTAAGTACCATTGTATCTGTTGGGAGTCCCACTAAGGCTCGAGATTATGCCATTTAGGCTATCAAATCCTTTAAGAGGTGCCAAGTTAAAGCCTAAACCAACTTAGATCTCGTCATGGGATTACACACACTCGCTACGATTTACTAAAGTATGAAGAGATTTGACAAGGCTTTGTCAATTCTGAAGTGAGTAATTTAGGTACCTAATATCACTAAGAGCTAATGTTTAGTTAAAAT